TTAAAATTGAAGCTTGTACCAATGTTTATGTACAAGGAATGGTTCAAAATTAATACTGATCTGCAAAAAGAATGCCTTATAGTGTCAGGATCATCAAGTCCAAATCCTGGCCTTGCATAAGACACCGCAAGAGTCACACCTGAGTGATTGTCCAAACAGTTCTTGAACTCTGTTAGGCTTGGTGCTGTGACCACTTCTCTGGGGAGCCTGTTCCACTACTCACCCTCCATCTGTGTGCAAAATCTTTTCACACAGATATCCAACTTAAAGCTCCCCTGGCTCAGCTTCATGCCATTTCCTCAAGTCTTGTCACTGAGAGTGAAGAAACCGGAACATTCATATCTTTATATTTATACATATAAGGTTTGTATTTAGATCTGTATCATTTACCAGTTTTTTGGTTCCTGCAATTAATATGGGAGACAGTTGCAAAGAACTTGTGCTTCATTCCAGTTTTTCTGTTCCTAGCTATGGGGACATGCATTATGCATTGTACCAAAACCAAAAAATAATTTAAAAAAGGTAAGAGCTAAAGACAGAAAAACCAAACCCAAAGCTGAGCTGAAGTCTATCACTGACAAACCAGAATGAGTTATAGGGACTTAAACCACTCCTGTTTTTAAAACTGCTTTCATACCGTCAGGGTCCCAGAAGTACCATCAGTCCTGCCTGGTCCTGCCCACCCCCTGGGGTCCCGCAATCCTGCCCACAGCCCAGGGTCCCATCTCAGCCCCAAAAGGACCCTCAGTCCCTGACCCAGCATTGTCTCAGCAGCAGGGCTGATCTACAGCTCCCCACAGCTTTGCCTCCCCAGCCTGGGCTGATGTCAGCGTCTCTGACACTGACCAGTCCCCATTCCTTTCCCCATGGACCTGCCTAGCCACTGAGAGGCTGTGCTTCACCATGGTTCCCCACACTGAGCCTGATCATTTAAACCACTTCTTTAAAATAATTTTTAAAAAAAGCTATTCACAATGAACATATATTTTCATTCCATAAACTACTTGCATTTTAATGAAGAATGCAGTTTCCTAGCAGCAGGTGTTAACATCAAAATGAAAAATTAGATCATTATATTGTGTATCTGCTTTCAGAAGGATAAATTGAAAATAGGATTTACTAAAAACACTGATAATATCTTGAAACCCTCATTTGTCTTTAAAGCTATATTAAATTTCATGGGGTTTCTCGTTTGCTTGAAGTATTTCAAGACTGCTTGGGGAATACACAGTGGAATGTTTTTCTAAGCTATCATAACTGTAAGTCTGTCTGAGTGTGACCTGTTGATAGCTTTATGGAGGTGTGTTTGGATCCCTGTATCCTCCCTCATTCTGGGAAAGCTTGAAAAGCAATTACAAAGCTTCTGATTCTCAATCTTTCTGAATCAAATGCCAAAATGAAAGGTGAAATCTGAGGCCACAAGAATCTGTTCTTAAGTTCTGATTCTGCAGACCCTAAATGTATTTGCCTAATCTTTGCACAGCATAAAAGACTATGCTTGGTGTTAAAAATTAAGTAAATACACAAATCTTTCCAGGATTAGGATTATCCTTAGATGCTGTTGCTTGAATTTTCATCACTAATTTCCTCTAATATTCATGATGAAGAATGGAAAAGTCAAACTATGCAGGAAGTGTTTCTGCTGTCATCTGTGATTATTATTTTAGTCCAATGGACAGAGTCACCAAAATGCACCTCCTTAAGGCCAGGTCCATAACAGGATAATTTTGGTGCAGGCTGAGCAAAACCCCAGGAGAGACAGACAAGTAAATGCTCATTAGACAAATAGTATATGCCATTAAAGACCTGCAAGGACAGTCAAATATTATGAATTTCACTTCCTCCTCTTGATACGAGATCTTTTACTGATGGTTTTAGTTCTTTGACCTGAAAATTTTCCTGACTTTGATTCTTTGATTTCCTAACTTTGATTCTGATTTGAATCTGAAGATTATAACCTAACAAGGCATAAACCTATAGGAATTAGAAATCTCTATGACATACTTGTAATATCTCTTATTGCTATCTGTGGTGCTGTATTTCTATGAATGTGAACAACCTTGGTTTTCTGCTTTGAATGCAATCAGATAAGAAGCACAAGTTTTGATGTCCTATGATTACAGCTTTAGCATAGGAAATCATACACTTATGGGAGGGTATGGTCATATGGACATATCATAAAGCTTTTGAGGACATTCAGTGCTTTCTTTTCAAGAGCACTGAATTTTCATCCATACAGCACATCTTGTTGGGCATTAAGAGAGTCCACAGGGCTCTTTAGAACTTATACACTTTTTTCACCTACTTGGCATGCATGGTGCTGAATTAGGGCTGACTTCATTATATAGCTGGAAATTACTTTCTATGGTTACTTGACTATCAGCTTCTATACCCAATTCATGGGTAGAAAAATCTGTAAAATACAGTCCTTCTTATTTGCTTTCTACATTATTTTATTCTTATATTGCATTCTCTGATATGTTCTAGAAATCCTATTCTTTCTCATAACCATACTTCATTTTTAGCCTCCTTCTGATCAAGTTCTTTCTCCTGTACTTCTCCTACTGTCCAGTGCTTTCAGCTGCAGTGCAGCTGAAAGTTTTAGTTCCTTGTGCTCCTGTGGATGTCATGTTCTACAGCATTTTGTTGTGTAATATTTTTCCTTTGTGAAACCTTATACTCAGGGATAATTCTTATCTCAACGGTCCTTTTTTGGTGGCAGGAGATTTGACTAGCTAGAGGATATAAATCACTAAATGCTTCAGGAACATGGGAAAACAAAGAGAAAAACAAACCTCTAATAAACTTACTCTCACTTGTCGTGATTTAACCCCAGCTGAAAATGCAGCCTCATGCAGGTACTCACTCTTCCCCACCCTTCTCTGATGTGATAGGGGAGAGATTCAGAGAGTAAAAGTGAGAAAACCCATCGCAGGTACTCACTCTTCCCCCACCATTCCCTGATGTGATAGGGGAGAGATTCAGAGAGTAAAAGTGAGAAAACCCATGGGTTGTGATAAACACAGTTTAATAGGGAAAGCAAAAGTCATGCCTACAAGCAAAGCATGACTAGGAATTCATTGACTATTTCCCATGGGCAGACAGGTGTTCAGCCATCCCCAGGAAAGCCGAGCCTTGTCATGTGTTACAGTGACTTGGGAAGAAGACAAATGACATCACCTCAAATGTCCCCCTCTTCCTTTTCCCCCTAGCACTATATGCTGAGCACTATGTCATATGGTATGGAATATCACTGCGCTCAGCTGGGGTCCCAGGTGTGTCCCCTCCCAACTCCTTGCGCATCCCCAGGCCCCTCGTTGGTGGTAAGATGTGAGGACAAAAAGGCCTTGAGGGTCTGTGAACCCTGCTCTGAGGTGACTAAAACAGCCCTGAATTATCAACCCTGTATCAATGCAAATCCAGAACACAGTCACATAGTAGCTACTGTGAAGATAATTAACTTTATTGCAGCCAAAACTGTCACATTCCCCACCCCTAATTCCATAAAATTTAGCTGCTTCTCAGAAGAGCACTGTTCTTGGGGAGAAATAAAGGAGAGTTATGGACCTCATGCCATTGATGTAAAAGCAGGGCCTGAATATGGTGAGTACAAGTAAAATCTCTTTAGCACTAGTTCTTGGCATTTCATTGAACTGGTTCTTTATCCATCCTGCCATTCTTATTATTAATCTCTTTATTATTTGGTTTACTAAAAAGATTTTGTAGTCTACTAAATACTTAAATACTTCAGTGAAGGCCAGAAAGATAATGCTTCCTCTAAGTATTTTCTATAGAAAACCAATTATCCATAAAATTTAGCAGCTCACAGAGCCTGGCACATTGTATTTTATGTAACTATCATCTTTTCAGTTTGTTTCCACATCTTCAGGTATTCATCCTTCAAAATACATATGTTCTCAGAACATGTAACTTTAGTAAACTTTAGCCCCAGGTAGAATTTTGTCTTAAAGGCCATACATAGAAATATAAATCTCAAGTGGTTTTATAAAAGTTTTGTATATTGTGCAAAGTGGGTTGTATTTTGTGCTCCTCAAATACATATGTAGTCAAATACACATCCTGGATCAGCAGAGTCTCCTTATTGTCTTCCTTTTGCTCCTTCAGTTTGGTATTGAAAACTGTCTTAATGTTTACCTGCCTAAAAGGGTGAAAGAAAAGGGTACAAAACCACAACTTTCCAAATCTAATCTGACCCAATACTGTTTTACAGTAGTCCTGTTTGATTACTGTCACAACTATTTAATATACAAATGAAGAGCTGGATGTAGTTGAGGGATACAATACTGTGTATTTCACAGACACATTAATCAGATAACTCACTAAAATGCCTTGTAGAAGACAGTTTTGGGTTTGCGTTTTGGGTTTGTGGTGGGTGGTTTTTTTTTTTTTGTTTTGTTTTGTTTTGTTTTTTTTCCCCGGGTCAAGCTTCAGTGTTGGCAGAAGTCTCTGTATTGTGGAACAGCAGCTGGTAACAGGCTGTAGGAAAATGCTGTGTGGTAAGTGGAACATGCCTTCACGCCTGTAAAAAATAATCTAATTTATCTATACTTTGTTGGAGGGTGGAAAACAGAAGGTAGCCAACACTTCATCCACACATCATCCCCACGCCGTATTTTTAAGAGACGCGCCCCTGCCCGCCGCGGCCGCCCGAGTCCCTTGAACTTTCCCCGGGCGCCCGCAACAAGCGGCCCACGCCGGGCTGCCGCTGCCCGCACAGCCCCCTGCCGCTTCCGCCAAGTTCCCCTCAAGCACAGCCTGCTCTGGGAGCCTCCAAAATCCCTGCGAACTGCCCGCCCGGGGACTCCCGGCACGGCGCCTGAGGAAAGCCCGCCGCCGCCCCCGCTCCTCTCCCGTTCACACCTCGCACAGCTCCCGCCCTCCCTCGCACGCCCACCC